CTGGATTTGCGAAGAGGAATTCTCCGAAACTAACGCAAAAGTTTTGGACCATAATCATTTCGATGGATCATTCCTCGGATGGGCTCACAACAAATGCAACTTCCTGAGACGTACCATACAATTCACCCCTGTCTTTGCCCACAATCTCCAGAATTATGATTTGCACCATGTACTGAAGAGTCTGCAAGATACCAATACCAGAAACACCTTTTCGGTCATTCCTCTCAATGACGAAAAATTTATTTCACTAACAATGAAAGTGTGGATTAGATCGTACACTAGCGAAAAAGGAAATGTCCAACATGTCTACGAAGAAATCCGTTTTGTGGACAGTTGTAAATTTATGAACAGCTCACTCGATGAGCTAGCCCGAAATCTACCCGTGGAAAAGTTCATCTATCTCAATAACCACTTTGCTACCCGACCGGAAGAAGATAAAGCATTGATTCGACAAAAAGGTTACTTCCCCTACTCGTATGTTGACAGCCATGCAAGATACACAGAAGATGGACTACCTGCACGCGACAAGTGGACCAACACGCTGCAAGGAGGTGTTGTTAGTGTCAGTGAAAAAGAATACCAACATGCATGGTTAGTGTACACTCGTTTCGGTTGTCAGACTTTGGGCGAATACAGCGATTTGTATCTAACGACTGATACCTTGATTCTTGCATGCGTTTTTGAAGAGTTTAGACGAGTGTGTTATGAAACATATAAGCTAGATTGTGCTCAATATTTCACGGTTAGCAATCTCTCAGGGGATGCATTTTTGCGAACATGCAAGGCTGACCTACATTTGCTCACTAATAGGGAGCACTTGGATATGGCAGAAAACCTGATCAGGGGGGGCATTGCAAGTGTGTTTGAAAAAAGACTTGTTTCCGCCAACAATAAATTTGTGAAAAATTACGACCCTAAACAGCCTAACACTTTCCTCTTCATGATAGACGCGAACAATTTATACGGCGGGATTATGGAAAAATTTCCTCTTCCACTTAACTCATTTGAGTTTAATGACCAAGTTACTATAGCTGAAATTCTCAACACGAGCAGAGAATCCGAAATTGGATACATTTTGGACGTCGATCTTTTATACCCCGATCATTTGCATGATGCACATTCGGATTACCCACTCGCCCCAACAAAAGAAGTTGTGTCCAAAATGTGGCTCAGTGAGCTTCAATTGGACATGATGAAAAAAATGAACATTTCGGATAAAGTGGGCACTACGCCAAAGCTCATACAAAACTTCTTTCCAAAGAAAAACTATACTGTACACTACCTAACACTTCAGCTCTACGTCAAACTTGGTTTGAAAATTGAAAAAGTTAATCGAGTACTGCAGTTTAGACAAGAAAAATTTATTGCACCATATGTTCAGTTGAACACTGAGCTCCGAAAAAAAGCTACTACCAAGTTTGAACAAGATTTCTTCAAACAAATAATAAATAGTGCGTTTGGAAAATTCTGCGAATCAAAAAGGAATCGACTTATTGTAGATATTGTTCGCAATGCTGAAGAACTGCAAAATTTATCAAGGAAAAAAAGATTTAGCAGTATAAAAATTATTGACCAACACTTGGTATCTGTAACCTCAAAACCTGTGAACATTAACTGGGATAAGCCCACAATTGTTGGTGCAACGATACTAGATTTGGCAAAATTTTACATGTTCCAGTTCCATTACAACATAATCAAGAAAAATTTTGACGCAACTCTTTTATATTCGGACACTGATTCGTTCCTGTATGAAATCCGCAGCAAAGATCTCTACAATGAAATTGAGAAAAACCATGAACTGCGAAATCATTTTGACTTTTCAAATCTACCAGTCACCCACCCCCTCTACACCAACGAGAATTTGCGCGTTACCCTGAAATTCAAGGACGAGTTTGCTGGGGAGATCATACAGGAGTACGTCGGACTAAAACCCAAACTGTACAGCATTATTTCTTCGAGTAAGTTTCTTTTTCTTTTCTTTTACCATTTTGCAATTACCATTTTAGAAAAGGGCAACAAAAACAAATCATAAGATTATGTAGTGAGGGTTGGGGGGGGAATGGAGGTATTTATGTAGAAAAGAGAAAAAACTGTTAAAAATTTGAAATAAATTGATTGTATTTTTGTTTCAGACATGGACAAAAAAAGCTCGAAAGGTATTTCTAAATTTACAAAAATGGAGCTAACCCATAATAAATTTAAAGAAACTTTGACTTACTGTTCGCTTGTCCGGTCAGAAAATGTGAGGATAAATTCTTGCAATCACAATTTACAAACCATAATAACAAACAAAATTTCCCTGAGCGCATTTGACAATAAGCGCTATATACATGCAGACAGAGTAACTACTAGTCCTTTCGGACATAAACGTTTGCGTGAGGATATGTTCATAAGAGAAATTGGGCGCACCATGGACTGGGGCGAATACGACGTAGACGACGACGCCCTGGTCCCAACTCCCACCGATAACGGAAGTGGGGAGGATTTGGCTGAAGCTATAGAAGCGCAGGGTGGGTATTATGTGGATATTTTTACTCTACCAGATATGGGGTTCAACCAACCCACATACACTGATCAAGAGCTAGAACAGGATTTGGTAGATTTCGACCAGCTAAGTGAGCAAAATGAGTCAGAACCAGCAGCGTACAACTGCCCCTATTTGGACATTGAAGCTCGAGAAGAAAACGAGCGGGAAGAAATTAGACCACCTAAACGGCGGCGGTGCTTAAATCGACGTGCTTTTATATTAGACGATTCTGACTAAATAACTTCTGATTATAAATGTAAATGATTCGCTTTATAGTACTTTTCATTCAGGAAATAAAGCTTTTCAAAATTGTTCTTTTGACCGAAAAGTGAAATAATCAACAACTCTAATTGTGAGGGGAGGGGGGTATTCAAAACAACAATATAAACTTACCAATATCACAGCATTTTATTTAATTCCACACGTGGCGATAAAGATTACAAAATAATCCACAATATAACGCGCGCAGTAAAGTTTGAACTGTCAAAGTCAAAGGGAAAACATGCACCAACCAAAACCTAATTCCATTCCCGTTTCCATAAATTGGCTGGAAAATTACCAATTTTAACCCCCCTTAAAACATGCGTGCCCGAAAAAGTAGGGGCTTTAACCCCTTTGGGGGTTAAAAGTGGTAAGTACAACGGCACATCGAATTTTGGGGGGGGGGTTAAAAGTGGTCATTTTCCTAGCCACTTTTACTATACTACTTAGGGTACCACACATGGTAACTCAATGTAAATAGATTCGATATTAAAGAATAAATAGATCTAGCTGTATTGAACAAGAGTACTATGAAGATAATACTGTAAAAACTCATAGGATCATTCGAACAATTTGATTTGGCATTTTGAAAAGCATATTATTGCAGTAATTTATCATCTACTCAGCAAGGTAAAGCTAATACGCTGTGTAAGTTTTATTGATATAAGAACTTATTTTGTACAGTAGTTTTCACATCAAGACTGTACGCCAGGTTCACAGCAGACAATTTGAACAAATTATACGAGTTTTGAAAAGCGATTTGCGCATAAATTGACAAGCGTCAGCCGAAATCCCTCAAGACACCAACTAATCAAGCAATACTTATAACATTTTAATCCTCACCTGGAAAACTGAAACGTATACGCCAAGTATATTAGACAAATTGGAACGTGGAAACTCTATATTTTGCAAGGCCCTCAAAAGCCACATTTATCCATTCAGCAGTGGCGTGAGCAGAAATTTTTTTAGGGGGGGGGGGCATTTTTCGAATTTTTTTTAGGTCGAACAATTTCATTTTCGGAGCTCTCCGAAAATATTATAGGAACCCTACTTTGTCAAGAAATTTTCTGCACCGCAGGCAAATTTCTTTAATAACAGGTCAACAAAAAGCGTTTTAGGCGCTTGTTGGAAAATTTAGACCAAAAAAATGCGTTTTTTCGGCGCACGCTCCCCCTTAAAATTATTCATATTGGCGCCAAATGCGCCTTAAGAAAAATTTTGACTGGGTATCAAGAAATAGATGTCGTAAAATTATACCAAAGGGTACCAAAAGTCTTGCCAACAAAGGCAACGACTCGATATGAAAACCGAGCCGGTTATCACCACGAAGCGGTGCGACCATGGGCAAGCTCAAACAACCATTCCACTAGTCTTCGACCGTTTAATACTAACTTAGAATGTTTTGCATGGGACTGTTTTTTGTTCGTTTCATAGCTTTTGCAAATTATTTATGTTCCAGAAGCTTCAACCTAATTCATTGTGAGCATATATGATCCTCGGAGATATAAGCTTTTCAGTGGATTCTCAGGGAATATATTTTGCGTACACTTTCGGAAAATTTTCTTTTGATGCGTTTAAACCAAAAACTGCCTCGGCGATTTTATAAATAACAATTAATCATTTTAAAGAAAGATTTAGGTGACAAAATCAGTTGAGCTGTGACAAAGCCTGAAAATTCAACTTATGTTATACAAAGCCGGAAAAGGCCAACTTAATATCTAGATTATTTCTTCCAGTTAGAGTTAGCAATTAATAAAGTCGTGTTCCCAAAGGACCTCAAAAACTTACCGACGTCTCCGTTACTGAGCGTCTCTTAAATCTTGGAGCCGGCTCACAACTAAGGTTTATCTATCTTTGATACTCTTGATAAAATTTTTCAATAATATTCCAGAGCCAGTCAAAACTTCTGACCGAAAGATTCAAAGCCAAAACTGAATTCAAAGACCACAAAATTTCGACAACAATTTTTCATTTATGAAATATCACACTTTGTTCATTTTCTTGTTAATAATTGGACAACACAGGGTTTTACTGAGTTGAGATGCGTAAAAATGCAAATGGTTAAAAGTTTTTTCTGCCAATTCTTTGCAAATGTTCATAATAATCAATAACTTCAAATGTGACAATAAACAAATATCAAAGATTACACGATCAAATGGGACCAAATCACACTGAATCAACAAAACAAAAAATTCTTCAAAAAGTTTTTTCATCACTTTTTTCGGGTTCTAAGTGACCTTGTTTTAGGAGGACTGTTAATAACTACTGCTGTTTTTTTCACAGGACTGGCCTTCATCTTCGTTGTTTTATTTGATTTTGCTGCTGCTGTAGAAGTGTTTTTCAGACTGGCTGCTTTCTTCGGACTGACTTTCACTCCTCTCCGGGTTTTCCTAGGTGAAAGTACTGTTTTCGGCTCTTCTACTGCCAGAACTTTGGATTCCTCATTTTTCCTGGATAATTTGGCGGGTGCCTGAGTAGACACTACAACAGGGCTCCTTGCTGGACTCGGACTTTGAACCTTTACCCTTACTGTTCGCGTTTTTACCACACCCGCTTTAGGCGTGGCCTCCTCAGCTGCAGAAGGTTTCGCTTCCTTAGATTTTTTGGCAGATTCTTCCTTTTTAGTTCCTTGAGGTGTCTTCTTTTTTTCTGGGTTCTTAGCAGGTGAAGCAACCCTATCTTTTACCCTTCTCGCCCTAGTATTCCGCATCGGCGCTTCAGCTGTCACCACCTCGGTTACAGGCGGGGATTTCATCGCAGGAGACTTCTTAACTGCATTCTTTTTGGTTGGAGTTTTAGGTTTCTGTGCTTTGGAACTCACTGGATCTTTCTTTACGGGTATTCTTTTAGACGGTGATCCTGACACAGGTTCTTCTGCTGTTCTTCCGCGTCGTGCGCGCTTTGAGCTTGTAAGTACCTCAACTACCTCGGTTACTTTCGGCTCCTTCAATTTAGCTGAAGTTTTAGCTTTTGCTACATGCTCAATCTTTGCTGGAGTTGTAATCGGCTCTTTAGAAGCATCTGCTTTTTTACCTCTCGTTGCTCGCATCGGCTTGGGCGATTCTTTAGCCGGGCTCTTCAAAGTTTTTTCAAAACAAATTTTCTTCGCTGGGGATTTCTCAGCCGGTGGTTCGATAACCTTCAGCGCACGCCCTTTTCGCGTTCGACTTTTGACGGGAGACACCACTCTGAGTGATTTGGCGGGTGTCGCTTCTTTTTCAACTGATTTCGTAGCTCCTCTTTTACTAAGCTTCCTTGGTGATGCCTTTGCTTCCTGAGCATGTCCATTGACTTCTTGCTTCTTTATTTGTGCACCCCGCTTAGTTCTAGTTTTCATAGATCTTGGAGGAGTCGCTTTCGTTGCAGAATTCTTTGAGGTTAATTCCTGTGCAGAACTTTTAGCTTCCTCTACGGCAGCAACCACCGGAGTTTTGAGAAGGTTCGCTATTCCAGAAAGTCTCGGGGATTGAACTGTTTTAGGTGTCCTCAACATTTTTATCATTCCGTCTAACTTCGGGCTCATACTTCTTGATTTCCGAACTCCGGCAATTTTCTCTACTTGTTGAGCTGATATTTTGCTTTCAGAAGAAAATTTCACAACCTCTGCTGACTTGCTGGGAGTTCTACTGGTTGATCTGGCTCTACCTGAGGGTAACTTTTCAACAGAAGAAACGGCAACCAGCTCTCCTTTTCCAGGGGTCTTCGCTATTGGCGCTTCTTCTTTCACAGTCAACGCTACTCTCACCGGGGATTTGCTGAAGGTCGCACTCTTCAACGGTTCTACAGGTAACTTGTTTTGAGGGGTTAGCTTTGGTGTAGCTTCCGTTTTCACAACCGGAGTTACTTGCTTAGCTGGAGACTTACTAACCGATTTACGTTTAGTTTCAGTAGGCATGGTTCCAGTTTTAGGGCTCTTTTTAGCGGATGCCAGTCTACTAGGTGTTGTGATCTTGATGGGCGTTTTACTTGAAGATCTTGACCTCGGCGATGGATTCTTTGTACTAATAGGAGTCTTGCTGAGCGAAGTTCGATTGGTAACCTGCAATTGCTTTGACTCCGATTCCAGCGGAATCTTTTTCTCAGAAGACTCTTTCGGTAAGGGACGTTTAGTAACTGGAGTTTTTCCAGTAGACCTTGTTTGAGGCGATGAGACTACTTTTGGGGACGGAGTTTTTACCTCGTACATCCTTTTGGGTGTTACGGTAACATACACAGATTTCTTGCCAGCAGAACTTTGTTTGTTCGGTACCATTTTAACTTTTCCAGATGACTGGGACCTAGGACTCGGTTCCACCTTCACTGGAGTTGAGATTTTGGCAGCAGAGGCAGATCGTCTTAAGAATGCACTAGGTAAATTAGCAAGAGTCGCACTTGTTTTAAGAGTTGGGAAGTTTTGTTCATTTATTTTGCTCAATGAAGCTCTAACACCAGTGATCCCTCGCATTGGTCCAATTTGGGAAGATGAATTTAAATGCAATGGTGATCTGACAGGTTTTGCTACTGAAACTGACTTCATTTCAACGCCCGGTTTATCCGTAGTCTTTGAGGTCAAACTTCGCACTATCAGTTCCTTTCTGCTGTCGAGAACTGCTTTTTGCATTACAAGTGTTGTCTTCGTAAGTTTCTGTATTCCTGGAGAACGGACTTTCGGGATTTGCTGACCCTTTACGGGTGTCTTTTTCTTTTCGTCCGATGATATCATCGGTTTGACGACCGCGGTTGGCTTCAGGGTCACGAGATCAGGAGTCATGTCCTAAAATCTTGAACTTCAATTCTATTCAAAAATGAAACATTTCTAGAAAATAAGAATTAGTTATCTTAATGAATTAAATAGTCTTAAACTAACTCATGGAAAATGTTCAAAACTACTTAAAGACAGCAATCATGGCCTCGCAAAAAAAGAGAGTTTAGAGAGACTACTAACCTGATGAACAACGTTTCTCTTAACTGGCTTCGCTCTCAATTTGAACGTCCGTTTGCCTTTGATCATCTTCGAAACCACTCTTTTCGGCGTCAATCTTTTCTTTGCAACATCTGCCCACGACGCGTTTCCTGATTTCTTGGCAACTATCTCTTTTTTGTCCACAAGGCTACTCTTTCTGCCTGCGATCTTTGCCGATTTAGGTGCAACATGAATTAAACCCTTAGGTTCAACCATTGCAGGTTTGTTCAGAGTTTTCTTCAAAAGTTCCACGCGCATGTTTGTAGTCCTAGGAGTGGGGGCAATCGAGCTTCTGGCCAACAACGTTTTCTTCGTCATTGGACTCACCGGCATTTGTGTTTTAGCCAAAGATCCCACATTTTGATCCAGTGCCGATCTCTTGTTCCATGGTGAAGCTCTCTGTGATCTCGGAGATGGCACTTTTGTGTCCTTTGGAGAAGTTTCTATTGCCCCTTTCATGGCCGACACAAACGGAGTTCGCAATTTAGATTTTGTCGAGGCCTGGACTAACTTGCTTGAAGCTGGCGTTCTTCCATCCGGTGTCAAAAAAACTGTTATCGAATCCAGAGATGAATCGGGACTATCAGTACGAATCGAGACTCGTGATCTTCGGTGCGGTTTGATTATTTTCCTTTGTGTTAAAGTATTTTCAATTCCAGACGCGTTCAAAGTATTTATGTTCTCGTCCTTTATTAGTGGCCTTCTAGCAGATTTGTTAGATGGGCTGACAGATTTTGATTTTCCTCCGGTTTCTGAATTCGTTTTACCAGAACCATAATTCGCTCCTACTGAGCTCGATCTTCCTTCTTTTGACTCATTCAGTTCCTTCAGGGGTTCGTAAGCTCCGGGAGTTCTCAAAAGACTCTTTCTCACTTTACTGGGAACGGGAGAGGCAGGGATCGATCCACGTTTCACAGGTTGCGAGGCGGGGAGATTCTTGTCAATAATTTCTGGACTTATAGCCTTCGCGGCGAATGAGATTCGTTTTCCGGAGTTCATAGGTGCAAATTTTTCTGGTGAATTGTAGCTGAATGATGCCATCGACTTTCTAGGTTTCTTTACGGCTAAAATGGAATTACTGAATGTGATCTGATAATTTGATAGTAGAATACAAACGGTGGTAGGCCAACAAAGTTCTAGAAGGGTGAAATCTCCGAAAATTTGCGTTAAGTGTTTAAAATTAGTTTTTAAGCAATGATTTTGGGTTTTATATAGAAAATTCACATTTCTTGACTATTGAGCAAAAATAATTTCTCTTATACAGGTTTTTGGAGATTTCACCCTTCTAGAACTGTGTTGAGCTATTTAAGAGGCTTCTTGTGATATATATTTTTGGGGTATAATTTTGATTGAGAATTTCGGAGAAAAAATTGCACCATATTAATTCTGATGAAATTCTGAGCAACTTTGGTTGTTCTCTTCAATTTTTGTCTGATCAACCCAATTTGAGAGAAAACGCGTTTGAAAAATCAAGCTTTGTTCGTTTTGTCCGGATAATTTAAATCAGTACTGTAGTATCAAAACTTTTCTGTTCGCATTTTTTCCTCTAACATTTCTATAGATGAGTTTTTGCAACTAGATTTGTTATGAGGGTGTTATACAAATTATTGCTTTACGAATCATCCCACAATTTTGAAATCCCGCAGAGCAAAATTAGAAACCAGGCTTGCAATTCGAGTTACTATATGCAAACAGTCGTCAAAACAATATCTGCAATAAACAATACTGCCACGAATGGTTTTCAGATTGCGCGTAAATTATACCCGAAAATGGTCCTAGCGTAATGTAGGATTCGAGAATTGAACAGTCAGATCATGAATTCTTTTTTCGTTGAAAGACTGCCAAAATTCACGAGTAACAGGAAATAATGACTCACATCGCTTTGACTGGTGCCTTAGCGAAATAAACTTTGCCAATACTGATGTAGTGACTTACTTTTCAAAACGTTTTCTTCAATTGGATCTTCTTCTTCTTCTTCTTGATTATTCAATACATTCTAAACAGGACCGTCTTAATCATCCCGATCACAAAGATATAGATATCATTACAACAAATATTGAATTTAATTCAAGTTTGCAACTAACAATCATTTTCCTTGCGAAATCCTTCAGATCTGCGCTCTTCGGAATATGCATGAACACACTGTTGGGCGGGTACTCAAACCTAAGTAGAGTACAAAATTTAACGGATGCTCAATCCAAACATAGCTCACAAACCGTTGAAACTGAGTCAGTTTGCTGTTCGATAGTGGGAGTTTGCCTTCATTTAACAAAATAAATGAACTGAACTTAAAAAGTCAAAACACAAAATATCCAATTTGAGCGTGAACAAAATTTAGACTTTTCCTGAAACAATCACGACCTCTTTAAGTCTTGACCGACTCTTCCACAATTTAAAAATAATCAAGAATCCGTATTGAAAACTAACCTATCTCTAATTTTTAGGCTTAATATATAACTACTACAAGCCGGTTGCAGCGCAAGTAGCACAGAATGCTCCAACCACCTTCATAATAAAAAACCGACCCAATTTTTTCAAATTGTTGCCGTGCTTTGCAAGTTATGTGATAAGAGAACAAATAAAAACGCGCAAAACGTTAATGATTTAGACAAATCGAGTTGTCTTAAGAAAATGACAAGGTTTTGATTTTTTAAGAAGCTTTTTACTAGTAAAAGAAGCGTTAAAGGAAGCTTCCCATACTAGTTTTTCTTGATTATCACTAACTTAATTACTAGTTAACCGCTTCATCTCAACACTGCATCTTTCAAAAATTTTGTTCGAACCACATTGAAAGGACTTTAATGAGATATATCAATAAACCCATTTCGATAATTACTAGCAGACCCACTGCATCTAAAGCTGCTCCTGAAAAAGGCCAACTTATCTGAAAAAAAAAGATTGGATGAATGAATGGTCAGCTGGTCGTAGGGATGGCTGGATGGATGAATGCATTGAGGGTAGGAAAGATGAATGGATAGCTGGATGGACGCATGGATGGCTGTCTAGATGGATGGTAGGAGAGAAGAATTGCTTGAGTGATGGCAGGCTTCAAAGATGACTGGCGGAATGTAAGGATGACATTATGGATAACGGGTTGGACGGATGGCAGCATTGATGAAGAGATAATAGATGGCTAGGCTGATGAAGAGATCATTGAATGGCTAGGCGGATTGATGGCTGGAGAGATAGCTGGATACTTTGCTGGCTGGCTGGATAGCTATATGGATGGATGGTTGGTTAATAGTGGGATAGCTAGTTGGATGGATGTCTAGCTCGATGATGGATAACTGCATTGATGACTGATGGGATGCATGGATGGCGAGATGGATGCATGGCTTGATGAACGTGTGGATGGACTTTCGAACGGATTGCCGGATAATTCATTAGGTGAATCGTTAGAGGGATGGTTAGATGGCAAAATGGGCGGAGTGGTTACATTGATACAAGGCTGGCTGCTTGACTGGATGAAAGAATAGATTAATGTATGGCTTCATGGATGGATGGTTATTTGGATAGTCGGAAGGACGGCTAGATAGATTGATGGTGACTTGATGGATGACCGCTTGAGCATATACATGGGAGTAGGGACATGGGTTAGACGGGGATAGGGATCAATGGGTGACCGGATAGATGATGGAATGGATGGCTAGATAGATACTGGGCAACATTGAAAGCGCATCATCAAGAGTTTCGCTAAATATTTCAAGTGGTTGAAGAAACCGTGATATCTTTAAGTAACTCTTTTGAAAAAATTTTGATCACATTTAAACAACTAACTTACATTTGATTCTCTTCTAAATTTAGGTTTTCTTCTCAGCTTGGAAAACAATAAAGCTTACACTAACCAGGAAAATCTAATTTTTTTCCGAAGAAAAAGTCATGTTTATGGCTTATCTTTTAATTTTATCCCCTGTCTATTACCCTGTAAAATGCAGGGTTTTTCCAAAACTATGAGTGAAACAAAGCTTTCAGTCTATGAAAATCAGGTAAAACATGGGCCATTTTTTACATTACTTTTGCCCAATCGAAATTTAGTTTCCAGGCAAGTTGTCAATTTCTGTTGCTATCTATCAGAGCAAGGCATTGGATTTTGCGAAATCTCAAAAATACACCCTGCAATATTTTTGGCGTGGAAAATTTGCTGTAGTCGCTCTTTCTATCATTACACCCCGAATTGTTAGCTGACTGATGAATCACATCAACATTGGTTGCCTAAATCAACGAACTATTTCTTTTTCAGCAGAATAAAAAACCGGATTCATCCATCGATTAGCCGCCTTCGAGCATTGGCACATGGATATTTCTTATTGAGGCCTATAGAGGAAGAATGAGCAAGAAGAATCTTCTATCACGCACCTGAAGAATCTGTCATCCACTTGAACAATGTCCGCGTGGTACACTGGTGCCTCTTGCTTGATCGTTTTTCCGTTGAGTTGTACTGGGTTGACACTGCTGAGGTTGGTGAGGAGCACCTGCTGGTTGGAATTCACACTCAGTCTACAGTGGCGTCTGGACACAGTCGGCAACTGCACTCTGATGTCGCATTCTGGCATCCTAACAACACATACACGTATATAAAAAAGATGACGCGATAGTTTCCATTAACTCCTTTGCCTGTTTTCGAAATCTAGTTCGTTAACATAATGTTAAGATTATCGTCACTATTAATTCCAATAACTCTTCTTTTTTGATACTTTGAAATGTAGCTGTTATAAATTGAAGTTTAACACATCAAAAATACCTTCCGATTGTGATAGATTTGGTGTGCATAGGGAAACTGGCTCCATCCTGACCATCTCTCTTCAATACCACTACCTTACCATACATTTTCGACATACCTCCTGAAAAAGCCGAACAAATGTGAAGACAAAAGGCAAACAGAGCAACTTCGCACCACTTGCGTCATAGCACAGCCAGAATTTTAGCAACGCAAGCGGATCAATTGAGCAATCCTTCCCCCATTCTGTCGTGGGGGGAAGGAGATAGCTGAAATATCTTTTATATGCTAGAGATTCTGTTTAAGAAACCTACATGCCCCGTGTTTCTCGGTAAATATGCTCATCAATCTCTTACAGAGCTTACTAGAGAAAATCTCGCAATAGGAACCTGAAACCTATTTGAACGACTGGAACTATTTTTAACTGAGTGCAGCAATATGTAAAATAGTCTACGATCAAAAAAGTCCAAAGACAGAAAAATAATAACTTGTATAAGCTAATCGGTATAAGCTAATAACTTGTATGTATAAGCTAATCGGTAAAAACAAATATGAGAATTATCAAAATTAGAAAAGAAACGCTTAGATTTTGCATCAATTGAGCAAGGATCAAGATTTTTAAATTCAAAAAAATACAACTGAAATTACTCAATAAACTTATAATTTATTAATTTGCTCATGGGCTGGACAACCGATACAATCAATCGTCAGCACTTTTATGTTGATCACCAAAAGTCACCATGAAATCATGATATTTATCACGCAAACTTTGAAACTGGAGGTCTGAAGGTCATGATAGGTTCATTAACATGACCTTCAGACCTCCAGTTATTTCAAGCTCAGCAATCCAAACAATTTCAGTCACTAAAGTTTTTCTTAAAGTTATTACATAAACAACAGATAAAATACCCCTAAATTATACCAAAAAATTTCAAAATACCACAGGTAACACTGGCTTAAAATCAACATTCATGCATACACAAGAAAATTAAGATGGAACAAAAACGTCTTCACTGTTAAAATGGAACATCGTCACTGTTAATACCATTTTAAAAAATTACAAACTGGTGTGCCAGTCGGCCAATTACAGATTTTCGATACTAATTATAAGATTGACCATGTCCATTCAAACTTGGGCGCCAAAACGGCACCTATTAATATTTTTGACATTTGCGCCAGAAAAACGAGGGCGACAACAACAGGCAATAGGATTACGTAGCAGTATTTAGACAACCGCGTATTCATACGGTGAATTCCCATGGATCCCAATATTCACAGATCCCGAAATAAAAAATCTGTCGCAGAAGCCCTAAAATTTATCATCTTGAATTCTGATTGGTTGAAAGTTGAGCCAACGGTTTTATGGATAATTTGTTTACTGTTCAAGCAGCATAAACTCAAGCTGCAGAATGATGACCGTTGAGGCCGCTCCAGCCAGGGCAGGTCAGAAATTAAATGTCATTGCAATTAATCAAAATTTTTTATAGCAATTAATTGTTTTCCAATCCTGGCCAATTACAATGAATTTATTGCGATCTACCAATTAATATTATAAATAAGGTAAATTATAAAAGGGGACCTTCCGTTTAGGTACGGTCGTGCACAAGCTGGACAGGGCCCATACCAGCATTAACAATTCATCAATGAACAATATTGCAGGAATTAAATCAAGTCAGCATTTAATGCGTTGTAATTAAAGGTATTTACTTAAATTGTCCCTCCTCTATAATAGCACTAACTGAATTGTCTAAGAATTGCGTCTTACAAAGTGCTCTGCACCCCCGTATACAAGGGATAGCGCTCCTGAGCAGCTCGACGCTTACCATAGTTCTTATTTAGTTCATTCTTTCTGAGTAGCTTCCATGCCTTTTTCACAAAGTGTTTCAGCTATGCGCTACATTATCCGCGTAGCTGCCTGTGCGGCACCACCAGCGCAGCCAAAATTGAGCGGGAAGAAGCTGCTCTGTTCGCCTTGTAGAACTATCTTTTGGTATTTAGAGTTTTTTACTGATTCGTGGTACTTATAGGCATCTTTCAGTAATCATCGTGAAGTTTTTGCGGGCGGGTTGAAGACTTTGACAACAAAGAAGGTTCGTTTAAAGCTTGAGCCCCATAATCCGTTTGCTTTTACATTTAGTCGAGCGTCTTCATCAGTTGCGGTTGAATTGTTGACAAAGCTCTCGCATTGCAACGACTGAAGTTTCGGCTCAATATCAGCATCATAGCAAACCTCGCTCATGAGGTTGGCAAAGTTATCTCTCATTTCGTCATGCCTCATGTGGGTGTATCCACCCTTCGCACAGAGAAGAGCGTGGTAAGGTCGAAAGATTGACCACATGCATATGTCAGTGGAATGTTGGGTGGTTCCCATCCATATGTGAGATGAATTCCAACCAGGAATTCGGATTTATTGAGGTTGAAGTTATATCTGCTAAGTGACAGTGCCTTTAAGCAGTTTAAGGCATTGTAACATTCGCCCAAATACTACACAGCGACGTAGCGTAGAAAAAGTACCTATTAACAACTGGCAGGCGTCAGTTACCTTAATCCTACTCGTTTTTCACCATCTCGACCTTGCCAGTTGATTTTCTGGTCTGTTTAGGGCTAAGTAAAAAGTTACTATATTTAGGCCATCAGTCAAACGACTTTTGATCAGCTTTCGTAAGATCAACTTTTGATCAGCGTCTCGGATCCTCAGACTACGTGATTGTCATTAAAAACACGGCTCGAACAACCTATTTTAATATGTTTTTGTGTGACAGTTCTATATTAAATCCATTGGAGATGGATTGACCTTTTCCTCTTTCTAGCTACTCATATTCTAAAATATCAAATAATACCGGTGTTAATTCAGCGTTCTACGACATCCAAGTAGCTACAAAGTCAGTTTTATATAGTCCCTTCACATAAAACAGTCTCTGGGGGACCAAGCCTCCGCTCCCGTAATCTTCCTGAGATAACGTTCTTATCTCTTCCAATTTGTGGCACGGGAGGGTTCCGTGGAATATTCCTTCCCCACTGAAGCTTCCTTCTCCACTAATATCCACTGCTAAGAGTCTTATCGTGTGTTGTTGCCACGATAAGAGGCTTCGTATTTCTCGTCTCTTGTGCGACCGTTTTCCACAATATTTGTCGTTGTTCTGTTTTTTCGTCCTTTTTTGTCAAAATGGCCGTCTTTTTTGTACTTCTCAGAAATATTCACTCTTCGATCGAAATTTTAAAAATAAAAATTCTAGAATATTCCTACCCTCCTTCGCTATACTTTTTCGTTAATAAGGCCTTTATTCGTTTTCTTTCGTGTCGCCGGAAGGTTGCACTGTGCCTATCTGGCAGAATGGCACATACTCCCCGGACAAGTCCCCATCAATGTCCCTATTGATCGCATGACACCGGGTTATCGTCAAGTAGTGTTCCAGTTCTCTGTAATCAATCTTACAATTCGCATAAGAAAATGAAATTTATCTACTCCACCTCAACTCACTACGTGTTCACAAATGGCATCGTATTACATCTCACTGCCTTTCAACATTTTCACAAAATTTGCACCATAAGGAGTGTCCTAGATAAAATTTCTTTTCTGACTACTTCCGTCGTTTTGCCATAAGACTTCTTTTTGCTCTTTGTGATTAAAAAGTGGGACGTGGCACGGCCATGCACCCGTTAAAATTAACTTAACGTCACTCACCAAATATAATCAGTTTATGCAGTCCTTTCAATATTAAAACTAAGAAACTCTGTGGCTAGGAAAGTTATTGAGTTATTCACCCTCTCGAGCGAGTTTACTCAAACTTACCATGTCGCCACACAGTGAAATTGTGTCCTACACAGGTTAAAAACTTCAGTCATGTTTAAATAGGTAAATATACTCACCTATGTTCTATATATATACATAAGTAGTATAACTAAAATTCTCTTTCAACAATTTTAACAATTGTAACAATTTTCAAAGTTTGGTTTGACCAAACTAAATCAAAACAAAAAGTTTAACAAGTTCAATAATCAAAACTTGGTTAATTGGTTCAAGTTTTAACACACAAAGACAATCAAGTTTTTCCTCCTTCTCTTCTCTTCTTTGCTCACGTCTTCACTTGTTCTCTTCGTTCTTCATCTTCATTCCATCGCTTCTTCATCCTGATCTTCAGCTTCGCTCTCTTCTAGGACTTTCTCCAGCATGTCCATGGAGTTGCGGGCCGTGCCCCAACTCTCCTGTTCCAACAGCCTCGGTTTGCAACAAGGTAGCAGGTCCACATTCACCTTCTGCTCCCGGTTCCTGCAAAAGCTGTTGTGAAGACATAGGCTCACATTTTTTTCTAGGTCAGCTCTTAAGACCTCTTTCTTCTCATCTTCAGTTACACAAGGCGCTCCAGCTACTCGCTTTACCGCCGTGGTGACCGCGTTTCTGTGCGTCAGGAATGCTCTCTTATAGGCTCCCGGTCCTATATCTAGCTGGAAAGATTGATAGGCTGCCGTGTTCCTCGACATGTGACGCTTCGCGCGTTCATACATCCATGATGTCATCACTGCACGGAACCAAGGCATCAATCTTTACCTGGACCATGTTCTTTCAATGGCTTTGGGTATTCTCAGAACCTTGCAGGTGGTTCTGAAAAGATCCAATTCATGACTCATCTTCACGTTGCTCAGCTGTTCAGGAGTCGGCACGGCCGTCTCCTGTTCACTTGTGTCTGCGTTAGCCTCCAACCATCTCACTGCCAGCATGGCACTAACCACCACGATTGACACCTGTGATCGGGCAACCCCGTAGAGTACAACTCTTCCACGTCCCATACTAGCATCAGATTCCCGCGTTTGGGGTACCATAACGTCTGCGCCAAGCAGTGGCAAGGATACTCCCCATGGGTCCTCACTATGTTCCTTCGGGTACGATACCCTGAGGCTCCCAGCAACGGTTCCACCTCCATCAGAATTCTGTGTAAATCGTCTTTCTCTTCTATGGTGGGGAATTCAGTGGGTAACGCTCCACTCGCTTTCTGCTTCTGGAACTCACTCACATTACCTTCGTTCAATCTCAGGAACTCTTCGCCCACTACGTCTTGCAACTCGCCTTCAGATCTCTTTGGGACTGCCCGAAAGATCTTCGCCAACAAATCATATGACCTCTCC